TGCAGTTATAAGAACCTTCAATATATTACTCTCTGTACTAATCGGTAGGTCCTAAGATATGGTTCAATCATATACAGAATATAAAACATCTTAGCCAGGTGCTGTGGCTCACAGGGAAGCCGAGGCGGGTGGATCACCTGAGGTCAGGAGTTCCAGACCAGCGTGACCAACAAGATGAAACCTCATCTCTACTAAAAATACAAAAATTAGCCAGGCATGGTGGCAGGCGCCTGTAGCCCCAGCTACTCGGGAGCCTGAGACAAGAGAAATGCTTGCCTGAACCTGGTAGGCAGAGGTTGCAGTGAGCTGAGATCTCGCCACTGTACTCCAGCCTGGGGAAGGAAGCAAGACTGTCTCAAAAAAATAAAAATAAAACATATAATTGTTATCTGCCTTTACCAAGTTGATAGCAAGTATATATCAAATTGGGCCATTTTTCTATTTCTGTAACTTATTTGCATGTTGGCAAATTTCTTCTAGTCTTCCATTTTTATTTATTTTTTTTTTTTGAGATGGAGTTTCGCTCTTATTGCCCAGGCTGAAGTGCAGTGGTGCAATCTTGGCTCACTGCAACCATCTTCTGGGTTCAAGAGATTCTTCTGCCTCAGCCTTTCGAGTAGCTGGGATTGTAGGCATGCGCCACCTCACCTAATTTTGTATTCCTAGTAGAGACAGGGTTTTACCATGTTGGTCAGGCTGGTCTTGAACTCCTGACCTCAAGTGATCCACCCACATCGGCTTCCCAAAGTGCTGGGATTACAGCATGAGCCACTATGCCCAGCTAGTCTACCATATGCTTAATGTCCAAATGTGACCAGCCTAACTTTGTCCCTTGAGCTTTAAATGATTGTTGCATTTCAACAGAGTGTATAATATTAGGAATATTACCCTTGTGGTCATGTGGATGTAACTGTTTTTGGCAACTAACTTTAAGATCCAAATTTGAAAAATATGGGGAGGCCTACCCAGAAGCCTTTGAAAAGTTAGTTTTACCTTTTGCAAAAGACCCTAGTGCCCTAACATTTTAAAAATTGTATTTTATGTAACAACATGACTCTACTATTACAATGTGGTCATCTTAAGACAAATTTAGTTGAATACTTGCCAGTATATTCCAGTAAAAATAAACTCTCAAGTTTGTCCTGTAATGTAAAAGTGTAGCAGATTTTTTTATGATGATGCCAGTAGCAAACTGGTTTTAATAATGTATGGCATGTTAAGGTTTACAAAAAGTTCTTTTGTTTTTTTTTTTGTGAGACAGAGTCTCACTCTGTTGCCCAGGCTGGAGTGCAGTGGCACAATTCCAGCACCCTGCAACCTCTGCCACCTGGGTTCAAGTGATTCTCCTGCCTCAGCCTCCCAAGTAGCTGGGATTACAGGCACCCCCCAACACACACACCCCGCTAATTTATGTATTTTTAGTAGAGATGGGGTTTCACTATGTTAGCTAGGCTCGTCTTGAACTCCTGACCTCAAGTGATCCGCCTGCCTCAGCCTCCCAATGTGCTGGGATTATAGATGTGAGCCACCACAGTTGGCCCCAAAAAGTTCTTTTAACATTAAAAAAAGCCCTCCTTAAAATACCTTTATTTTGTTCTATTGAAGAAATGGAAGACAAAGATTTAGGGACTCACTGAAGTACATTACCTTAGAATATAGTGAAATCCAGTAATAGATTCTGTGTTTGTTTTAACATACAATCTTGACTGTCGTAGTATTGCATGTGCTTTTTGCAAAATACCATTAGTTTTTATTTTGTTCTTGCCTTTAGTGGGATGAAGCTCTCTTGACTATGAGTAAAGGAGAAAAGGCTCGACTGGAGATTGAACCAGAATGGGCTTATGGAAAGAAAGGACAGCCTGATGCCAAGTATCCTTTTTTCCCCTCATAATTAAAGGGAAAAAAATAATCTCAGGATCACATGAAGATGTGAAAGACACTGTCTAGGTGAACTTCTAGATGAAGAATCCTGTCCAAACTAGTCTTCCTGACATTTAGATGCTTATGTGTCAGCATTTCCAATAGACAACAGTATTTTCTCTTGGGATAAAGTTCAAACTTCAGCTAGAATCTTTTTTTTCTCTTATTCAAATTCTTAACTTTCAAGACCTTAACTGCGAAGTTTAAACTTAAAAGGCAATTACTAATGTTTTTAAGAGTTTAAGAAGTTACAATGCCAGTACAAACTGTAGCAAACTAGGGTGCAAATATGGCTCATGGTAATTTTATGGTACAGTTTAATATCAGGCAATTAAATTCAAAGCTTAGAAATGGAATAGATGTGGAATATTAACAATTGTGAACTGAAGAAGATCATAGAATCAACACTGTTAGTGTAACCATTTATTATTACTATTAATGACAATACTCACTGAGAAGTCCAGTTTGTGAACGTTAAAAAAAACAAGGAGCCGGATGCGGTGGCTCACGCTTGTAATCCCAGCACTTTGGGAGGCCGAGGCGGGTGGATCACGAGGTCAAGAGATCGAGACCATCCTGGTCAAAATGGTGAAACCCCGTCTCTACTAAAACTACAAAAAATTAGCTGGGCATGGTGGTGCGTGCCTGTAGTCCCAGCTACCCAGGAGGCTGAGGCACGAGAATTGCTTGAACCCAGGAGGTGGAGGTTGCGGTGAGCTGAGATCGTGCCATTGCACTCCAGCCTGGGTAACAAGAGCGAAACTCCCGTCTCCAAAAAAAAAAAAAAAAGACAAGGAATGACTCTAGACCATTAAGACCAGACCAATCGATTGGTAAGAGGGGAGGTAATTGATGGCTTTTGTTGGTTCCATTGCCCTTGGACCTGTTAGATTTTAAGTTTGAAAAAACAATGGAAGGCAGCATTCTGTTATCTTATCAGATAAACATATTTGGGAATATAACAGCTCCCTTAGCTTTTCAAAATCAAATGGCCAGGATGGGCGAGGTAGCTCACACCTGTAATCCCATCACTTTGGGAGGCCAATGAGGGCGGATGGGAGGCCAATGAGGGCGGATCACCTGAGGTCAGGAGTTTGAGACCAGTCTGGGCAACATGGCGAAACCTAGTCTCTACTAAAAATACAAAAATCAGGCAGGCGTGGTAATACATGCCTGTAATCCTAGCTACCCTGGAGGCTGAAGCAGGAGAATCACTTGAACCTGGGAAGCAGAGTGATTGCGTGACTGCACTCCAGCCTGACCGCAAGAGTAAGACTCTGTCTAAAAAAAAAAAAAAAATCAAATGGCCAGCTGCTGCTCCCTCTCCCATGTGAAGAAGGACTCGAAGACCAATCTGAAGCACAAATTATATAACTCTGAAGTTAGCATTTTTTGAGCTGGGGTCTCACTCTCAACGAGGCTGGAGTGTGGCAGCACAATCTTGGCTTGCTGCAACCTCCACCTCCCAAGCTCAAGCAATTCTCCTGCCTCGGCCTCCCTAGTAGCTTAGGGACTACAGGCATGCACCACCACACCTGGCTCATTTTTGTATTTTTAGTAGAGATGAGGTTTCACAGTGTTAGCCAGGCTAGTCACGAACTCCAGACCTCAGGTGATCCACCCACCTCAGTCTCTTAAAGTGTTAGGATTACAGGCATGAGCCACTGCACCTGGCCTTGAACTTGGCATCTTAAAATGCACAGTAAAAGTTACGTACTACCTCATAAAAACTTTAATACAGCATATTTTTTTCCCAGCTAGAATGATATTACTTTTTGTTGTTGTTGTTTTTTTTTTTAGTACTTAATAGTCTTAATTAAGTGGTGGCTAATTTAGGAGTACTTGTAAAGCATCCAGGTAAGGACGATCCTAGTCCAAGCTAAATTTATCTAGTGAGCCTCTCTAATCAGCCTATCCTGATAGATTATGATCTCCGTTTATCATGAAAAATACTTTTAGGGGCCACGTGTGGTGGCTCACACCTGTAATCCCAGCACTTCGGGAGGCCGAGGTGGGCGGATCACGAGGTCAAGAGATCAAGACCATCCTGGTCAACATGGTGAAACCCGGTCTCTACTAAAAATACAGAAAAATTAGCCAGGCGTGGTGGCACATGCCTGTGGTACCAGCTACTCGGGAGGCTGAGGCAGAAGAATCGCTAGAACCCAGGAGGCGGAGGCTGCAGTGAGCAGAGATTGCACCACTGCACTCCAGCCTGGTGACAGAGCAAGACTCCATCTCAACCAAAAAAAAAAATACTTTTAGGAACCTCTAGGCTAGTTATGTATTAGCCGCTGAATCAGCTTCAAAGCGTTTCCCTTTGGGATTAGTTACTAATATCGAGAATACATAATTATAATTTTACACTAAGATTTTGGGGGTAGGGGAGAGGCACTTTTTATCAAATGTACCTTGACTTCTTCAACAGAATTCCACCAAATGCAAAACTCATTTTTGAAGTGGAACTAGTGGATATTGATTGAAATAGCAGTGCTTCAGCTCTAAGGATATCAGTAACAATGACAAGACTTGGCCTTGAAGAAACTTACATAACTAGTTAGAACTTGTTACTATTGTTAAGGGAAGAGTCAACTGGAAAATTCAAGGAGTTAATAAAATTTGTTTACTTGATCCCAACTTTTGAGAGATGTAATCCCTTATGAATCCCTGAAGTCTAAAATACCTTCCTACGGCTATGTAAAATACTGGTCAAGGAAAACTCCTTTTACCTCATGTTGTAAACGAAGTGGCTCAATAAAAATTTATCCAGTGTCTTGATTTGACTGATTTGTTTGGTGTTAATATATTAATTTTTCTGATTAAGTAACTGAAACTATGGACCTCATCAAACCAGGGAGTAACTCCCAATAAAATTATCTGGACAGATTGCCTGTATAATAAGACAAAAGCATAGGGCTTGAGGGTAAACAAAATGCTTTAAGGTCTAAAACATCATGGCAGGAAGATAATACCTTAATTTAGGAGAAGTGTACTTCAAAAACCTATGAGCCACTAATAAAGGTAAACATAAAATTAATATTACTAATTTATTCCCCCAAAATAAATTCATAAACAATTACTGGATGAGTCTTCAGTTTTATTACAAAAATGAAGATGATCAGTTTGATCAAAATGAAAGCTTGTTCACAAGTTTTACATGAATATTCTAAATACAAAGTCTCCTGAAACAACATACTTTTGATATGATTTTTTTTTAAAAGGGATGCAAACATTCCATTTTCTCATTTATAATCTATTCCAAGGCATAGAATTTTAATAATGTATTCTTTCTGCAGTTAGATCACAGTTCACAAGTATAACTGAAACAGACAAAACCTGTCAGCAAAGGTTAAAAATCCTTTTTTTTTTTTTAAAGGATGTAAATCCTTAATAACCAGCCCTTAATGTGTTTTCAGAATTTTGTACTACACTGACATGATTTGCAGTCAGGCTTTTCTTCCTACCCCTTAAGGCTACAAAATTCTGTTGCAAATGCATTGCAAAAGAATTCTAGACCACTTAATGCAAAAATCAAAAAATAGTTCTTCAATAAAAAGTAAATTTTATAAATGGTAGGAAATAGTATCTGTGGTAAGCTACTAATTGACATTTTTCCCCTATTACTAAACAAATCGTGTTACACCGAAACAAGGAAGACAAGCTATCAAATACAACAAGTTTATACTGTTTACATCCCTCATTAAAAAAAATAATAATTTCATATTTTTCACACACACCATTTGAAATTTATATTCCCATCAGGTTGGAGGGGGAGGATAATACTGTCCATAATTCCAAGGATTCTGATAATTGTACTGAAAGGAAAAAGTAAGTATATGTTAGCATATTAGAACTGTGGCAGTTCCATGTGTAAAAGTATAATTAAAGCAGGTATGTTTAAGAAAACAAGTGTTCACTGCTAAAATTCTAGTACTTCACCACCAAAGAATGTATTAATGAATTGGAAAAAAAACATTTTCTAAAAAAAGAAACTATCCTAATTTATGCTAATAACATCTATGAACAAGAATTATAATTATGCAGACTCACTTGATACCAGGCACTATAATTATATACAGCTTGATTTGCCTGTAAATCACCATCAATCATCTGTGTAGATGATGAAGTTGTATCTTCTGTATGTGCTTTCTTTTCCTCTGGTTCTTCTGATCTATAAAAAAAATGTCAAAATGGAAACTTTCAAAACTCCCACAAATAAGAACTTTAACGAATAGATGAATGTTATCTGTTCATTTGTTTTGCTGAAATTTTGAACCACTCATGACTTTTTCAAATCACGAAAATAAAATATGTAAATTACAACATAAAAATAACACTTAAAAACATTTGTCTTTGAAGGCATTTCCATAATGAAGTACCCCTTCTTAATTTAGCAAAAACTTACATACCCATTTTCGGCTTTCCTTTTTAAAGAATCCTGTTCTTTTAAGAGTGTCTGATGTTCATCATAAGCATTCAGAAGCCTGAAAGGGAAGAAAAAAAAAAATCCTCTGGAATGAACAAAAACTAACCTATTATTTAGTAATTAAAGCTGTTTTTACTTCAGAAACTGCCCAAGTAAATTTCTAAGTGGCTCCTTTATTTTCAAAATTTCTACTACTAAAATCATAGTCATTATCAGACACCCCATTCCCTATAGTTACAATGGATTAAATAACACACTTGTGTTGAATCTCCAATTTGTCTGCCTATTTTTGCCAAATTAAAATAATGTCATTTAATTTCACTGGTCAAGATTCCAATAGCTAGCTACTGTCAACTGCCTACTCTATGTGCTCTCAATTCAGTCTAGCTTTCAATGCACAACACAGGCAAGATCATACTTCCACTACTTCACAAAAACCTGCAAAGCAGATGTTACTTTTACATGAGCTTCAACTTGCTTCCACCACTGTATCCTCTGCTAGGCTTGTCAGAATCCAGTAATAGCTAAATGAAGCTATTACTGGTATATTTCCTTACTAGAATCAGGTAAGACTGGAACCTCAGAAACGCTCTAGCCAGTATTTGTACTCTTAGTAAACTAAAACCCACTGGAGCATTCCCTTTGAACATCCTCAACTTTCAGCCTTTTACAATGAAGGAAGATGCGGCCACTAGGCATGTTCTGTGGGACCATATCCATTCTCATCTCCAATCTCAGAAAATAGCACTCCTACTGGAAATTAGTCTCATTCATCCTTATTGATCTATATATTAAATGTTTGGGTTGCAGGATTCAATCCTTATCCCATTTCCCTTTTCACAGGATTGCTCCTTGCTGCCTTCTCTCATTCAGTCATGGTTTAAATTGACATTCTAAAATTGGGAAAAAGGTTGGAAGGAAAAACAAACCATATGCCTCTTCCTGTCAAGTACATACACATTTACAAAACTGAACTTACCCCCATATATATCTGAGGAAAAAGTAAACTAAGTGAACATTTTAAAATTTAACAATGTATTAATCTGTACTAATCATCAAATCCCCATCCAAAAATATCAATGCTCATTTCTCATTCAAATAGATAATATAATTAAGATCTTACTTATTGACATCGGAACCAAAATCTTCAAGAAATTCCACTTTTCTCTGAGAAAATGTGATTCTCATTTTAATAGGTAATGAACCATGTACAGCTTTGTCAAAACAACTTAGGATATTTTCTTCATTTTGTTTGAGGTCACCACTGTATTCCATTTCAAGTAAATTGAGGTATAACTTTGTGTTCTCCTGTGTAAAAAGCAGCATCAATTACTATTTCTAAAATATTTTTATTAGAACAAAGATATTTAAAATGCCTCAATTTTTATGTCTCAATTAGAAAAAAATTGAGAATTATATTAAAATACAACTCATGCTAAATATTTTCAGCATATATCTAAAAGGGTGAAAAATTTATTAACACATTGATGAATTTTTCAACCAATCAATCATCCTAGCATCTCCTAAACTATGCAAATTGTTAAATGCCAATAAATTAAAACTCTATATCCTATCTTGGGTTTAATATGACTTGACCTACCATGACAATTAGAAAATAAAACATAAAAAAATTATCCCTATGCTTCAAATAATTTAAATCTTTACTATAACTATAGATTAACATCTTAACTGGGCATGGTGGCTCATGCCTGTAATCCCAGCACCTTGGGAAGCCAAGGTGTAATCCCAGCACCTTGGGAGCCAAGAAAGACTTAAGGCCAAGACCAGCCTGGCCAATGTGGTAAAACATCTCTGCTAAAAATACAAAAATTAGCTGGAGTGACAGTGCACACCCTTTTTTCAAAAAAAAAAAAAAAAAAAAGGGAGTCTTGCTCTGTTGCCCAGGTTGGAGTGCAGTGGTGCGATCTCTGCTCACTGCAACCTCCACCTTCCAGTTTCAAACGATTCTCCTGCCTTGGCCTCCCGGGTAGCTGGGATTACAGGTGTCCACCACCACGCCTGGCTGATTTTTGTATTTTTAGTAGAGACAGGATTTCACCATGTTGGCCAGGCTGGTGTCAAACTCCAGACCTCGTGATCCGCCCGTCTCAGCCTCCTCAAGTGCTGGGATTACAGGCGTGAGCCACTGAGTCTGGCTGGTGCAAACCTTTAATCCCAGCTACTCGGGAGGCTGAGGCAGAATGGCTTGAACCCGGGAGGCGGAGGCTGCAGTGAGTCGAGATCACTCCACTTGACTCCAGCCTAAGTGACAATGAGACTGTATCTTCAAAAAAAAAAAAAAAAAAGAAAAAGAAAAAAAGGCCAGGCACAGTGGTTCATGCTTGTAATCCCAGCACTTTGGGCGGCCAAGGCAGGAGGACTGCCTGAAGTCAAGGAGTTTGAAATCAGCCTGGCCAACATGGTGAAACCCCATCACTAAAAATACAAAAATTAGCTAGACATGGTGGTGCATGCCTGAAATCCCCAGCTACTTCGGAGGCTGAGGCTGGAGAATTGCTTGAACGTAGAAGGTAGAGGTTGAAGTGAGCCAAGATCAGCCACTGCACTCCAGCCTGGGCGTCAAAGCGAGACTTCGTCTCAAAAAAAAAAAAAAAAAGATAAAAGATAAACATCTTAAACTGCAGCTAGAAGCAAACTGCTATAAATCTGTATGTTAAACAGACCTGGCAATAACTAAAATACTGGCCAGGCATGGTGGCTCATGCCTGTAATCCCAGCACTTTGGGAGGCCAACACAGGCAGATCATAGTGAAACCCTGTCTCTGCTAAAAATATAAAGATTAGCTGGGCGTGGTGGTGCACGCCTGCAGTCCCTGCTACTCAGAAGGCTGAAGCAGGAGAATCACCTGAACCCGGGAGGCGGAGTTTACAGTGAGCCGAGCCACTGCACTCCAATCTTGCAACAGAGTGAGACTCCATCTCAAAATAAAACAAAATAAAAACCTAAAATTCTAAAACTTGAGAGATTATCTATTACCTATACATTGCCTTTTACCAGTTGATATATAAAAAGTACTCCGTGGAGAAGCAAAATCATCTCACTGCTAAATGTGCTTACAACACAGGAAACACCTATGCTTTTGTTTATAAAGTGCTCTCCTAAGCCCTCTGTTCTACTTAATAAACAGTAAATTTGTTAATTTCTAAAGGGAAAATAGAAAGCATCACAATGTCTATAACACTTTTTAACCCAATAATCTTAATGTCTAAAACTTTTAATTCAAAACAATTAAAAAAAATTTTTTAAATGGCAACATCAGTTTAGAGGGACTGTTGTCCTCATTTAGTAATAAAATACATACAGACCAAATCTTTCATCACAGTTGCCACAGTGAAAATAAACTGACCACTGGTTTTTTTTACAAGATACTTTAAAAAAACAAATACGTACTTTGTCTCTTTCAATTGCTTCCAAAAGTACCTTTCTTGATTTTGGAAGGTTTTTCTGTATTTTGAATAAATGCCGGGCTAGTTTGACAGCATAAAATGAAGATTCATTATTTGATTTGGCATTCTTAATGGCATCCTGAAGCAAATGTTCAGCTTCTTCCAGATTTCCATGCCGTCGTTCTAAACTTACTCTTCGTAAACGAACCATTGCCAATCCTAAAACACATTCTTCAAATGTTCTCAAGATATTCCTGGCTTCATTAATATTACCTAGAAACAGTAATTAACATGTTCATGCTTCTGCTTAAACTTCTAAAATAATGTTTATACCAGATACTGGCAAACAATCACCCATGGGCTAAATTCAGCAACTAATGGGAAACAACCATGCATATTTACATACTGTCTATGGCTGCTCTGAGGCAGAGGCAACAATGGCTTACAAAGTCTAAAAGAACACATGGCTTACAAAGCCTAAAATATCTACTATCTGGCCTTTGAGAGAAAAAGTTTGCCACACTCTACTTTACACCATCCCTTACCACCCAATTCCTCACTGTATCCTGAAATAACTTAGAAATCTCAAAAATATCAACTGAATTTCTCTACTCTTACCCTGCTGTTCCTCAAAAGCTGCCCAAAGCATATGCACCATGGGTTTCTTTGGGAGATGTATAGTACAAGCTCTGCTGAAGACATGCCTCACTCCTTCAATGCTATGGTTTTCCATGTACTTGGCATACTACATACAGAAAAGAGGAAATACTGAATAATTTACAGTTGAACAAGCCATTAAATTTGTGACAGAACGATAAAATTCTATTTTTAAACCCATTCAGCACCTTTATTGAACCACTAGACTAGTTTCTGTAAGGAAGGACGAAGAGAGGCAACGAGGTTGGCATATGCAGCAGTCAAATCTGGTTGCAAGCAGACCATCTCCTAATGCAACAGATATAGTTATATGAACAACATTCAACAGAAGTACAAAAAAGGTTAGTCACTAGATCAATGTTTATAATATATTCAAGTTTAAGAGCACATCATTTTCTTACCTTAATCCAAAACTCCTCATAAAGGGCACATGATATGACACATCTTTCAAAGAGAACCACAACTCGTTCATGTGTCCCATTTTCAATTTCAAATTCTAAGTATTCTTTCCAGTTTTTCAGTTGTGCCTTTTCCAAAGGTTTCACATGAAAGTAAGGTCTTTTAATCTGTAATGAAATTGTAACATGACAATGAAAGTAAACCAGTATCACCAAAATATGCACGAGTACAGTGTTAATACAAATTATTTTAAATATTAGTTGATAATTAAACATTTTTAATCATATCTTATAATTTAAAAAAGCTTTTAAAATTAAAATCCCTTAAATTCCTTAAGCTTTACAAACAAATGATACATTTTCTATTTATTCTGCCATTTTGCCAATTACATGCTTTTTAATGTAGAGAACATTTTACACTTTGTTGAATATTTTAAAATTGAACAACCATAGTGACAGAAAACAGATCAATGGCTGCCTAGGGCTAGGAGTGGGGAGGGGAACACTGGCTGGAAAGGGGCCAAGCACCTTTTGTGGTGCTGAAAGAGTTCTGTATTTTGATTGCTGTGATGACTACAATATATATACATCTGTGAAATGATTGCATATTCTAAGATTCCATTCATATGAAAGGCCATTATAGGGAAATCTACAGTAACAAAAAGCAAATAGTGGTACCTTAGCATTGACGGTAGAGGATCGCTGCTAAGGTAGGGGTAGTGACAGCTAAAAGTTAAGGGATTATTTTTTGAGGTGGTGATCATGTTCTAAAATTGACTGTGGTGATGGTTGTACATACCTGTGAATATACTAAGAACTACTGAACTGTATACTTTAAATGGATGAATTATATGGCATTTGAATTATATCTCAGTAAAGTAATCAGGAAAAAAAAAAGCAAAGAATTAAAATTGTGGGAAATTACCTCATTTTACTATATACCTAAAATGGGTCAATTGTACTCTATGTAAAGTATGACTCCAAGAAGCTGACTTTTAAAAACTGAACAATTAGAGTAAAATTGTTCAAATTAAGCATGTATCTTGCAATTCAAGTAAATCTCAAATCAAACATTCTAAAACTGATCAGGGAAAATGGAAAAACTGAGAATGATTACAATAAATGAGACAAGTATCTTAAAGTTACGGCTTAAATATGCAAAAATAAAGTTATAATAGAGATATTACTATCAAAATTGAAAAAAATAAATTATTCCTATCTTTATATTTTAAAGACTATGAAAAAAACAAAAACACTTACACCTTCTTCAAATGTCCACCTTTTACTAACTTCATGCTCATTATAATTAAACATTTCTTGATGAATCTCAATGATTCTATGTCTCATGTTTTCTATTTCTGTAATTAGCTTGGGAAGAAAAAGGGAAAAAATAAATCTTATAAGCTATATACTGAAAATTTTCCATATCACTGCTTACATTTAAGTATTCACAGATATTTTAGTCTTAGGATAGTGGTAGATTTTTAACTGTTGGCAATTATGTGCAAAATACAATTAACAACACTAAAATATATCACACAACTTCCTAATTAACCACTTTCATACATTTTTTTTTTCTGTTTTTCGTAAATTGGGCTGGTAGATTCATAACCTAGGCAAAATATTCCTTCTAAACTAAGTTTTTTTTGGGGTGTCTTGTAGTAAAATAGATTCTCTATCTTAAATCCATACATACCAGCTACTAAATCCCCATTTGCCTTAATCAGAAATCAACTTCAAACAAGCTACAAATCACTGGGTAAATGGCCAGCTATATAAGTGATCACTGTGCCACTCAAGGAGTTAAGGGATAAACAGGTCCAGTTTCTTCTACACTAAAGACCTTTTTTTTTTTGGCGAGATGGAGTCTTGCTCTGTGGCCCAGGCTGCAGTGGTGCCATCTCAGCTCACTGCAACCTCCACCTCCCAGGTTCAAGCAATCTTCCCACCTCAGCCTCTCAAGAAGCTGAGACTACAGTCATGTGCCACCATACCTGGCTGATTTTTGCATGTTTAGTATAGATGGGTTTCACCATGTTGCCTAGACTGGTCTTGAACTCCTGACCTCAGGTGTTAACTTGGCCTCCCAAAGTGCTGGGATTACAGGTGTGAATAACCACACCTGGCCAATGAAGAACTTTAGAATAAGACTGGTTACCTTTGCAGGATCAGTTATGTCTTCAATTCCTGATGGTAGATCATCACCAGGAGGACCATCATCACCACTATGTCCATTTACAGAAGCTAATTCCCTTCGAAACTGAATAAACTGTTCACCAGTTAAAAGATCTCTAGGCAAGTTATTCTGTACATGTTCTTTAAATCTAAAGGAAGATAATAAAAATACATACTCTATATTTGAATAATAATTTTAGATCTCATATTGAGATTCCTACTATACACTACTTTTTCAAAGGATTTTATTTAAAGAAAGAAAGCAAAATATCATAACCTTTCTCCTTCTTTTCTATAGTGAAACGCTACCATATGATAAAACACTACCATATGATGAAACAAGTCCATAGACATCTTCCATTTCTTCCTTCCTTTGCAGTGGAATGGAGAAGGCATGGATGAGCATAAAGTAAAACCTCAGTTCTGTCTGTTACTAGTTATCTGACTTAAAGGAAGATTTTACTTTCTCTAAATCTTAGTTTCCTCAACTGTAAAATGGGATGACAATACCTATTCTTTATGTCTCATAGAATCTATTTTACTACAAAGGCACAAAAGTTACAGTAAAATTAAATATTATAATCCATATTTAAATTCTAAACGATCACTTGTAAATAATCAACAAATATTGCCAGTTCTTTCCCACCTCCCAGATACTCCTCAATCTACATGTGGGTTCACAAAAACCCAATGAAACTGCCCAATTAAGATTATCAATTACCTCATATATAAAATTAAATGAACACTTCTTCTTTTTTTGAGACGGAGTTTCACTCATGTTACCCAGGCTGGGGTGCAATAGCGCGATCTTGGCTCACCGCAACCTCCGCCTCCTGGGTTCAGGCAATTCTCCTGTCTCAGCCTCCTGAGTAGCTGGGATTACAGGCACGCACCACCATGCCCAGCTAATTTTTTGTATTTTTAGTAGAGACGGGGTTTCACCATGTTGACCAGGATGGTCTCGATCTCTTGACCTCGTGATCCACCCGCCTCGGCCTCCCAAAGTGCTGGGATTACAGGCTTGAGCCACCGCGCCCGGCCAAATGAACACTTCTTTTGTAGTATGGTCCTCCAAGCCTCTGACTGCTGCTCTTTGTCCTATTCCCCTTCTTACCTGCCCTAAATGCTAGTATTCCCACGAATTCCACTCTGCGATTGGTTCTGAACTACTTTTATTAAGACATACTTCTGGCCAATCCCATTAATACAGCTTGAAATACCTATACCATGATGACTCTCAAAACTATAACACAAGTCCAAACCTTTCTCCTAATCGAGATTAGCATATCCAACTGCCAATACTCTGCACAAAGAAATACAGATTAGTTTAAAGCTAATCTATAAAGAGATTTTTGAAGAAAATATCATTTCGCTTTTTTATAAAAACATGCAATAATTTGTATACACACAAACTTTGATCAAAAAAACCAGGTTGAGGAGCTAAAGTACAACATCACAATATGAACATACCTTTGGAACCTCAAATATGAAATGTCTTAAAGTAAGTGTGTCATCTTCATCTGAAAATGAATACCCTTAGTATTTCTAATATTGACTAATGATACTGTCAACCACTAAATTTCTCAATCTCTTCCACCTAGCTTTACATTTACATTACATTAGATACCAGGCCCTACTGACTGTACCTTTGAAATATATCTTCATCGTCTCCTCACTTTTAAGCTGGATAAACCTAAAATAGCCTCACAGCCTCTACTCTCACAACTCCCATTCCCACCTCAATACTACTATCAGAAATGTTACTAAAAAGTAAGCAAACAGGCCAGGCACGGTAGCTCACGCCTGTAATCCCAGCACTTTGGGAGGCTGAGCCGGGCAGATCACCTGAGGTCAGGAGTTTGGGACCAGCTTGGCCAACATGGTGAAACTCCATCTCTACTAAAAATACAAAAATTAGCCAGGCATGGTGGCATGCACCTGTCATCCCACCTACTCAAGGGGCTGAGGCAGGAGAATCACTTGAACCTGGGAGGTGGAGGTTGCAGTGAGCTGAGATCCAGCCACTGCACTCCAGCCTAGATGATAGAGAGACTCTGTCTCAAAAAACAACAACAACAACAACAACAAGAAAAGGCCAGGCATGGTGGCTTACGCCTGTAATCCCAGCACTTTAGGAGGCTGAAGTGGGCAGACCACCTGAGGTCAGGAGTTCAAGACCAGCCTGGTCAACATGGTGAAACAGCGTCTCCACTAAAAATACAAAAAATTAGTTGGGTGTGGTAGTGCTTGCCTGTAATCCCAGCTACTTGGGAGGCCAAGGCAGAGTTGCTTGAACCTGGGAAGGCGGAGACTGCAGTGAGCCAAGATCTCTCCATTGCATGCATGCACGCGCGCGCGCACACACAAACACACAGAAGAAAGTATGCAAACAAACAAACAGTAAACTGTTCATCCCTCTCTTGATAGTTCGTTGGGCAGTCTTTCATATTCTGACCCAGGCCTATCTCTTCAACCTAATTATTAGACTGGCTGCCCATGTCCCATATGTTCCAACCTTATAGATTTTTTTCCAAGTTTCTTAAATTAAGACTTTCAAAAATATATGTAAGGCCAGGCACAGTGGCTCACACCTGTAATCCTAGCACCTTGGGAGGCTGAGGTGGGCGGATCACCTGATGTCAGGAGTTCAAGACCAGCCTGGCCAACACAGTGAAATCCCGTCTCTACTAAAAATACAAAAATTAGTCAGGTGTTGTGGCAGGCACCTGTAATTCCCAGCTACTTGGGAGTCTGAGGCAGGAGAATCACTTGAACCTGGGAGGTGGAGTTTGCACCATTGTAATCCAGCCTGGGCAACAAAGTCAGATTCCATCTCAAAAAAAGAAAAAAAAGAAAAAAGAAAAAGAAAGAAAAAGAAAAGCCGGATGTGGTGGCTCACACCTGTAATCCAAGCACACTCTGGAAGGCCAAGGTGAGTGGATCACCTGAGGTCAGGAGTTCAAGACCAGCCTGTCCAACATGGTGAAACCCCATCTCTACTAAAAATACAAAAAATGAGCTGGGTGTGGTGGCACCTGTAATCCCAGCTATTTGGGAGATTGAGGCAGGAGAATCGCTTGAACCTGGGAGGCAGAGGTTGCAGTGAGCCAAGATAAAGCCACTGCACTCCAGCCTGAACAACAAGAGCGAAACTCCATCTCAAAAGAAAAAATGTAAATAACATTGGGATCTAATCTAAATTTTCCAAAGTCAATGGATACAGAGGCTAATGGCCCATTTCAGCACCAGGAGGAAATAAATTAACATAAATTACATTATGTTAAAAAATTAAAAATGAGAAAGTAACTCTCAAATATGTAGCAAGAAAAAACAGATTTAATTACAGATTAATATTAAAACAAATTTGTCAACATATTAAAAACAAAATAAGGTAAAATTTAAAAATAACTACATATAGTACATAAATTTAAAATGACTTGATTGGTACATCATGCAGAAACTTCTTTAAAACAGTGACAAAACGTGCATAATATTAAGCAGTAATTTTTAGCAGTCTTTTGTATTATAAAGCTAACATTTTTTTCAGTAAAGACTGGCTGAGTGTCTAATACATATTGAGCTCTATTCCTAGATATTAGACATACAAAGAATTAAGCCTCAGAAACTGACAGGCATGTTGAGGATACTGGAGATATAAATTCAAAGTAGTGTTACTAGTGCTAATATAAATGTAAATAGATAGGTAAAGTGGTGGCACAAATGACAGACTAGATATCTCAATGTAGGTGAACCAGAGAAAATTTCAGAGAAGACACAAAACTGTGTGGTCTCAAGGAATATGAGTTTACCAGACAAGTGGAAAGAGGAAAAGGTATTAACAGTCATATAGATATAAAACAACAGAGCCATCTGGGAAATGTTATAACTTAGGTGTGTCTAGAGCTCAGGAACTACCAGGGATTGGACTTGGATATTAGACCAGATCACAAAGTCCTCTTGCTAAAGAAGATTTAAAATTAGGCTATCTCAGAGACAATTTGCACGGTATATCCAATACACAAGCCTAATGCACAGCACAATAAAATTATTTCCATTATTATTGTATAGCACTTAGAATATATTTTTTAACTTACACCTCCTCCTCTACCCTTCTGACCAACTCACAGGCAACACCATTTATACACAGCTTTGGGACTTCATTCCTACAACTTAAACAGCCTATCAACAGGTACATAGCAAATGCTAAATAAATGACTTTAAGAAAGAGGCATGTGTTAGGGGAAAAAAAAAAAATAAATAAAATTCAGTGGTTCTCAAAGCAGTTAGTCATTTGAATTATTTAGCTTATATAAACTGTAAGAATTGCATAAAGACTACTTGTGAGTTTGCTACAGATAAGGAAAGTGGTTCTAAATGCAGTAAGTGAAAAATAGCAGATTACAGTATGTGTAATATAATCCCACTAATATCTATTGTAAGTATATATGCATTTTTAAAAGCCTAGGGTAACTGACGACTTAAAGCAAAATAAATAAAAGCCTAGCAGGCTATTCATTTAGAAATAAAGAAGACTTGTAGGAGAACCTATCAAAAACTTGGGGTCCACACTGTCTAGGTTCCAAAAAGCTTCCAATCACTTAGAAACTCTGTGGCCTTAGATAAATATGCTAATCTCTCTGTGTCTCCACTTTCATTAAATGGAAACAACAGTACTTGTCTCAGTGGGTTATTGGGAGAATTATAAAGTGAGTTACAAAGCACTCAGCACAGTGTCTGTGATAAAGAAAAGGCTATGTGTGTTTCCTACACATATTTTTTTTCATCATCAGTAAAGTTCTTGAAGTCACAGATTTTTCCTATACTTTAAATCACAGAAGAACTAGTCTATGAAAAGACCCTCTTTGGTCCATCAGGTAATTTAAATACTTTTGTATTTATGTGTTCAGTAACTATTTACCAAGCATTTCCATATGCCAATTCTTGCTTGTGTTAATGTCTTTCAGCAAATGTCTTCCTAGGTCGTTATACCTTAGAAACCTGCCTGCTTCCTCTATTTCATCAAAAACAGAGAGTATATTCCTATCGACACGCTTTCTGTTTCTAACCTAACTCTGTATAACTTCTACCTCTAGCAAATTGATCATTAGTACTTTACAAATGCTTCATCAAAGTCTTCTACTTTTGGTAGTAAAGAAAAATTTAGAAAATAACTCACTTAAAAAGTACCTAGGTTTATACGATATTATTCATAAAAAATGTAACAAAAATAGAAAACATGCCAATTTTTAAAAAAAGCAAAGACAGTCCTCAAACTTGTTCAGAAAGACTTTCTGGATCCTTACTGATGGGATATTCTGCATAAAGCAGAAAACAGAACACAACAATTATTACACACAGAATTAGTTGTTTTAACAGTAATCAATACAAGGATACCAATCGTAACAGAAAAATCAGGGTGGAAAATTAAAATGGAATGATACCTGATTGTTTGAAAATAGATACTATTTACCATATAAGATGCATCCTTCACTGTTTTGGATATAAGGTGTTACAGCTATCCCAAGAACGTATATTTAGCAAATCATTAAGTTTAAAAAATTAAACATTTATCATGTGCCAGGCACTGTGTCAATCTAATGCCATAAATAAATAAACTTAGGTCCTATTTAATTATTCCTTCACTACTCTGAAATACCTTAGATAAGACAGAATTCCTGTGTTTCTTTATCTATTAAAATGTATAAGGAGAAAGTTCTATCTAAAAACAGTAAATTTTCTAAACACTTCATTCGGTATATGAAAAAATGTCAAAAGCAAGTATGCAGGTTATAATTAGCAACAAAATTTATTCATCTTTCCACCAAATAAAAGCTTACATAACATTTCAAGAGAATTGTAATTCTCAATACCACCAACTAATTATTTGAGTAATCAAAGACGTTTCAATAATCAGAATTTCCCACCTACCTCTGAAAATGATGACTATACAGCTGTGTTGGGATACCAAGAATACGATCATATATAGCTGTAACTTCTCTCAGGTTTCCCTGCTCATTTTCCCAGTTTATATACATTTCCCACAGTCTGTCAGAACGGAAATCTGTTCCTGCAGCTAGAACAGCATGCTCAAAAGTTCTGAAAAATTAAATTACTCTTAAGTTACCTTTCCAAGATAAAATCACTTTTAAAATATTTCTAAATTTAGAAGATATGCTAACTTCAAAAATTATATTCAACTGCTTCCTATGCAAGTTGGGATTAAAAGGTAGACAGAATAATGGAAAGCATACAACAGCTGCTTAAGGAGAATGAGAAAACAAAGGTAATAGGCTGGGCACGATGGCTCAAGCCTGTAATCCCAGCACTTTGGGAGGCCGAGGTGGGTGGATCACGAGGTCAAGAGATCGAGACCATCCTGGTCAACATGGTGAAACCGCATCTCTACTAAAAATACAAAAAATTAGCTGGGCATGGTGGTGCGTGCCTGTAATCCCAGCTACTCAGGAGGCTGAGGCAGGAGAATGCCTGAACCCAGGAGGCGGAGGTTGCGGTGAGCCGAGATCGCGCCATTGCACTCCAGCCTGGGTAACAAGAGCGAAACTCCGTTTCAAAAAAAAAAAACAAAGGTAATAGATAAACGTACTTTTTATGTAATTTTATTTTATATAAAATTAAATACAAAATGTACACATTGCAAATAGTTAGGAGTAGACATTTAAGAATGTGTTAAATCTGAAATGTCTGTTGTATAGATTTGTAACAGAAGACAAAACTAAAACAAGTAGGAAGTTCAAGAGAGGCAGATTTCACCTCAATTTAAGAATATTTTCACCAGAAATGGTGGCTCATGCCTGTAATTCCAGCACTTTGGGAGGCCAAGGTGGGCGGATCACCTGGGGTCAGGAGTTCAAGATCAGCCTGACCAACATGGTGAAACCCTGTCTCTACAAAAATTAGCTGGGCATGATGGCAGATGCCTGTAATACCAACTACTTGGGAGGCTGAGGCGGGAGAATCACTCGAACCTGGGAGGCAGAGGTTGCAGTGAGCCAAGATCGCATGATTGCACTCCAGACTGACGACAGAGACCCCATCTCAAAAAATATATATATATTTTCAAGCAAAAATAACTCTCCATCAAGGAATCCAGCTGTCTTGTAAGATAATAACTACACATTTTAAACCTCTCAAAAGACCTCTCAATTCTAAAATTCTATCATTAAAGTTTATCACAGGCTAGGCACAATGAATCGTATCCGTAATCCCAGCACATGAGGCCGGGAGTTTGAGACCAGCCTTGCCAACATGGCGAAACCCCATCTCTACTAAAAATACAAAAATTAGCCGGGTGTTGTGGTACATGTCTGTAATCCCAGCTACTCCAGAGTCTGAGGCACAAGAATCACTTGAATCTGGGAGGTGGGGCTGCAGTGAGCTAAAACCACACCACTGCACTCCAGCCTGGATGACAAGAGCAATACTGAGTCTCCAAGAAAAAAAAAAAAGGTTTGTTACAAAGTACTTTAAAATACCTAGTCATGTCAAGAGAGTTCTGTAAGCAATTTTAATCACTGGGTTAATACTCCAATGGAATAAAGCTTTTAGATACATACTTTCAAGATAAGTACCTTAAAATCAAGAGATTTTTTTTAAAGTATAAAAATATACTAAGTTAAACCACAATTTAAATAAAGCTCTAAAAAATTTTGAGTGGAACAAGAAAAATCAAATTCTACTGTTCATCTAGTATACAAAAATGCAAAATGTCTTTGTAAAAGGACAATGCAGCAGGGATTTTCCTGAAAGATAATATAAGAAACTAGGAAGCTATAGTAATTACACGTTTGGCACTGGCCAGGTTAACAGAAAAATGGATCAGTAGTACAGAGGCAAAGAAAACAAAAAGAGATCAATGTATTTGAGTATTTAGTGTATAATATGGAATATATTTTAATTCAACAGCGGAAAAAATGAAAGCCTAACGTCTATCTCAAGACAGAAATTAAAATCAGATAAATGAACAAGCAAAAAACTGTAAAAAAGTTAGAACAAAATACAGGATTTATAAATTTTTTGGTAAATAGGCACAAAACTCAGAAACCAGTAAGAATTCAAACAGCAGCACATTAAGGAAAAATAAAACTGCATATGATAAAAGACACCATATACAAAGTTAAAGACATACCAATACTGGAGGAAATATGTTTAACATAGCAATAAATGAATATGTTTAATGTAGAAATGAAAGAAGAGCATATATGTGTGTCTGTGCATGTATGCATGTGTGTATTTACTGTAAGGTTTTCAAAAGAATAAAATAGATGTTACTGTCCCTACAGAAGCCCAAAGGATTCATAAAATTAACCAGACACTGAAAAAAGTACGGAGGAAAGGGGAAGAAGGAGGTAATGAAATAAAGACAGAACGTTTAGAAGGTCTGCTTAATGAATGGTGAGAAATCTTCAACTTTCCTGCCCAGCTGTGGGGATTTCAGAAGCTAGGTTTCCCTTCCCCAGGGAAATCAAAGTATCTTTTTCTAAAGAAACTGCTTGGCTCAGGAATAAGATATAAGGTTACTATCACTGGGAGTCTACCAGCAAAAACCAGAGTGGCCACATGATTATGCTACTGTGAAACCCTACAGGCCAACTGGCAATGCCCCATACAAAACACACAGTGCTTCCATATAGCTTTTTTTTTTTTTTTTTTTTTTAATTTTAGACGGAGTCTCACTCTGTCACCCAGGCTGGAGTGCAGTATCACGATCTCAGCTAACTGTAACCTCTGACTTCCAGGTTCAAGCAATTCTCCTGCCTCAGTCTCCTGAGTAGCTGAGATTACAGACTCCTGTGACCATACCCAGCTGTTTTGTATTTTAAGTAGAGACAGGGTTTCACCATATTGGCCAGGCTGGTCTTAAACTCCTGACCTCAGGTGATCTGCCTCCCTCGGCCTCTCTAAGTGCTGGGATTACAAGCCTGAGTCAACATGCCCCCAGCCTGCTTGATGTTTCTTAATAAGCATAAAATCTCCTGGGTCTTTCAGCTAAGTTCATCTAAGAAAATTACTAATCTGCAATAGGAACAGAAATCCAGAGATCAGGTATCTCAGAGATAAAAATGAGTAAACAGAAAAATTTCACAGGAAACAGTGCTAACAGAAGAAAACCTCAACTGTCTTTAGTATCGTCAAAGAAACAATGAAAATATATGCAGCCATGAAACAAGAATTGGAGAGTATTAAAAAAGGAACATTTAGAGAACAAGAAAGATTCTTGGATATTAAGAATCTGATGGAAGATGTTTAAAATCCAATACAAGGGTCAAGAAGTACCTCAAAAAGCTAGACAAGGTCTAAGAGATGAAAAATAGGAAGAAGAAAAGAATAATTAAGAGGAGGTCCTATAGCCAACTATTAAAAACACCAGAGAAAATCAAGGCAAAGAAATTGTCAAAATAAGAATAACCATAATAAGAGTATTTCTAAGAATAGAAGGACATCAGAACCTAAGATCAAAAAGACCCACCAATAATCAAGATAAGTACCTTAAAAAGAAAATCCACATCAAAGCTCATCATTATAAAACTGCATTTACCTCAAACCCAAAGAGGAGATTCTAAAAGCTTCCACAGGAAAACATGTTATAGAATCTATTCTAGAAGAATTGTACTGGACTTCTCAAAAGCAACAGCAGAAGCTATAAAGACATAAAGAATGCCTTCAAAGTTCTAAAGAGAAAATAATTTTCAGCTCCAAATTCTATACCTTACCAAACCTTAAAATTATTTTTTCATCCAAGCATCCTTTAACAAGAAGTTATAGGACACACTTTTCTAAAAGCTGCACATGAAACAAAGAAAGAGTCAGATTTATTTATAAACTCACCCAGGAGTGAGGTAAAGGTAACTCCTAGAACCATGATGATAAGAAAATCCCAAGACAACTCTAGTACAGCAGACTAGAAGACCAGTCCAGATTATAGTAGAAAGGTTTCTAGGAGACACAACTCAAAGGAGAGAAAAAAATGGTACTTAAAAATATTTTTTAACAGGTCTGATTGTATAGAAAGCTATATTTAAAGCCTTTTACAAAGCTGGTTGGAGGTATGAAAAAAACCTTAAATGTTCAAAGAAAATTAGACAGATGGGCAGGGGAGGAGTAACCACAAAAAACCAAAAGGTTATAAAATGAAAGGGCAGTATAATGAAAAATATTTATAGGTTTTTAATCTCTTTTTTGAGACAGGGTGTCGCTCTGTCACCCAGGCTCGAGTGCAGTGGCACAATCTTGGCTTACCACAACCTCCACCTCCTGGGTTCAAACAATTCTCTTGCCTCGAGTAGCAGGGACTACAGACACACACCACCATGCCCAGCTAATGTTTGTTTGTTTTTGAGACAAGGTATCACGCTATCACCCAGGTTGGAGTGCAATGGTGTAATCACAGCTCACTGCAGCCTCAACCTCCTAGGCTCAAGCAATCCTCCCACCTCAGCCTCCCAAAGTGCTGGGATTACAGGTGTAAGCCATTGTGCTCATCCTTATTTATGGGTTTAGAATGATTAAAAAAAATACTGAAGCTGATTATTGAAACCTATCCTGTAGCTACAATGGAAAGATAAGGAATGGAAAAACAGAGTGTAAGCGGGTTAAAATTCTCATTTACCATAACAGATACAGGACGTCTACAACTAATAGAGAGAGAGAAAGAAAGCAATATACATCTACGGTTATACACATGGTGGAAAATGCCAGAAGAGCTAAAATACTTGAAGGGAGGTGGAGGGGTCACTTTTTGTTACAGTTTAACATTAGCTAACTTCTTAAACTGTATGCACATGCTTTTTTGAAAACCAAAAACAAATACATTAACAAATTACTGTAATCAATAAGAAAAAGATCATATAAAAGAAAAATGAGCAAATGCTATCAACAGGCAATTAAAAAATGGCTTATAAGAAGATGGTAAACCAAGATGAGTAATCAAGATATACACAAACTAAAACAGAGATGCTACTGGAGGTAAAACAAAAAAAAAAAATGTGGCACAGCTGTGGGAAAATTATTTTCATACACTGTGGGAGTTAAGAACTGATACCGTTTTGAAGGAACATTTGATAAAACTTAGCTGTGTGTTCCCTTTGACAGAAGCTCCATTTCTAGTACATTCTACAAAAATATTGACTTGTACAGCGATGTTCACTGTAGCACTGATTATCTCCTATAAATAAGGATTTGGTGAAATAAAGTATAGTATTTTGGCATTATAAAATACTTTTTGCAATGGTTAAAAATATAGCAGGAAGGGATTCCCAAACATTGTTAAATAAAAAAAAGTCAAACAGCAATATGAAAATACACATACAAATATGTACATATACCTACATCTGAAAGAACACACGCCAAGATATTAACCATGAGGAGTGGAATTGGGGACATAAGGAAAGGGGTATGGAAGGTAGGAGGGCTTTATTATCTGCATTTTCAAATCATAAAGCATAAGTTTATTACATGTATTATTTTTTAACAATGGAAAAAACTTCCAGCTTAGCTTATCATGAGCTCTATTATCAACATCAGAATAATTATTTGCATCTGAAAATACATTTGAGTATCAATGTTCCACATACCCTCTTATTGTATTGTGTGTCTCAGGATCACCAGGGTCCAATGTTTCTTTTAAGAAGTTTATATAATGTATCCAGAGGTCAACACTAAGAGGTATTGCCTGAAGCCCCCGCCGATAAACCTAAGAAGAAAACAGCAAACTGTACTTCAAATATTTATTTATTTCTTAACAGAGAGGCAACACTGTGTTATCCGGTGAACCTTAGAAATACTAATTACTGGAATTTTGTTTAAATAATCTACCATTACCATTTGGGTGGAGGTTGGATAGAACATGGCAATGTTCTGATCCCCACGTGCAGAGTCTTGATCTTCAAAGCGCAGCAGTCCCTGCATTCTGACCGGGTTGTGTGGGCAGGCTTTGGGTTACAGACCATAGGGCACAGACCCATTAGAGCATCAATGACAGCGTCTGACCAAAAATGCAATAAGACGTAGCAAATGTGACTAGCAAACCAACTATATTGTTTGGAAAATGAGAAATAAATGTAAGTGAGAGAAAAGCCCTGCCCTACTTGTTAAGCTGCAGTGTAATACAGAGGCTTGCACTGCAAAGCTTGACAAACTGTAGAGGTTTAACGCACCTGCCAACAAAGAGAGAAAATATTAGCTACAAATGCCACAAGAGTGACAAATGCAAATAAATACCCTATAAAAATTGTTTGACCATAAATGGTAGGTACTGCCAGCCAAAAAAAAAAAAAAAAAAAAAAAAAAAAATCTTTGTTTTGTTATTAATTGGCTTACAGTACCTATTGGAGATTACTTTATTCAGTGATGTACGCACCTCATCTGATTGTTTAATGTTGTCGTGCCGCTTTTCAAGGTCTGCATACTTTTTCCAGTAACCATAGCAATACGGATAGTGTATGAAAAATTTGTCAAATGCCTTCCTGGCAGCCATCAAGTGATTCTGATAAAAATAAAACCGTATTTAAATACTGTGGAAATTTCTGTCAAAAAAATATTTATTATTCCTTTCAAATGTTATTATCTAAAAAATATAAATAAATGGCAGGCTTAAAAAGTACATATACAGACTGCTCTGCCAATGGAGAAGTCATTCTTTCACTCCTTTACTTTCTTAATAAACTTGCCTTCACTTGGAAGAAAAAAAAAAAAAAAAAACACACATGCACACAAAAACCTACAGAGGCAGCAGCCCCCTTTTCCTTCTAAATGCAATTGAAACAAAAGGAACTAATTTTATCAACTTTGTATTTCAGCAATTTTCCACACACACACACTTCAATTATTACAAAACATTAAGTGTTGACACCACTGACTCTCCACAACCTAAAAAAGCTATAAGCTATTTTCAAAGCTAAAAATGTATCTACCTAATGTTATTCAACTTCATCTGAAAATTATGTCGATTTTAATCATAAAACAATAAAGACTATTGTTTCATTATAAATTAATAGGACTTATTTGTTCCTTCAGATACCATTTAAATAGTTACTAACCTCCTGTTCTACATACTGAAGCAAATACACCCAGCCTGTAAAATCCTGAGGATTATTTTCTACGGTTTTCCAAAATTTTTCATATTCTGGAGGGAAATTTGCTTCTGTTTCTGTCAGCGTCACTGGAAGGTCCACAGCACTTGCCATTTCACTTTCTTCTGTAGCTGCATTCACATTGGGAGAGTCATCGGGTGACTGTTCCATTTCTGTAACATTCATAATCTCAGTACTGAAATCAGCAGGATGTTCTACCACTACCTCTGAACTGTTGCCTGTGCTGCCATTACTAGAATTTCTGTATTCATCCATGTGAGAATTTTGCATAGCTACTTATTTTGTCTTCAGTTAATAATCTGTGGAAACACAAAGAGAGAAATATCTTTCAAATGTCAATAAAATTATTTGGCCTCAACAACCCTTTTAAAAAGCCCTAATTTAGTATTAAAGAAACATGAATTTGATTCTTAATCTCCCCTACAAGTCAGAATCACAAGGTTCATTAGCTTTTATATTATAAATAAAATTATAAATTATTGACAAAACTACCATTTTGTTGCTGGTATTTGAATAAAATCCAAATAACTATGGATTTGTTACCTCATTCATTAAAAAAAAGGACTCTGCCTGCTACTTAATGAAGAAATACTGTTTAAAATTCAGTGTTTCTTATTTAGGTAAGAATCTGATTCAGTGCCTGAATACCACCTTGCTATCAATCACTGGAAAACAGCCTATCTCTAATAACTGTTCTGCAGGCTAAGAGTAAAACTGACTAAAATTCTGGTCATGGTTATAAACATTTCAAAAGGAAGTTCATCACTTAGCTAGGATAAAGTTTTAGAAAAGAGAAAATGATATTGCTTAAATATATTTATATACTTATGAATTTTAAATCCTGACAGCTTGGTTTCAATTTTAAAAAAGATATAAATTATGGTTTTAAAAATTAAAAAGTAATTTTTTAAGTGAATAAAAAATACATTTAAAGGGCCAGGCATGGTGACACGAAGCTGTACTCCCAGCTACTCAGGAGACGCTGAGTCAGGAGGATCGCTTGAGCCCAGGAGTTTGAGGCTGCCTAAGCTTTGACCATGCTACAGTATTCCAGCCTGGGCAACAGACCACCACCCTACCTCTAAAAAACATATTTGAGAAAGGCTTACAGTCTGGATAATAACTGCATAACATATTTAAAATTATGTCATCTAATTTTTAAGGCTACAAGATAAGGAATTATTGCTTTAAGGTAGTACCACAACATATTTTCATAATTACCTTCATCTCTTTCACTAACAGCTTAAGTGAAAACCAAATCATTAAATTACAGGGCATGTCTGTTTTTTTTTTTAAATGAGGGATTATTCTCAAAATTAAGCAGACCATAAAATGGATTTACTCTTAAAATATACCTGGAATACACTGCTACTTAATATATTAATAGTACAGTTCATTAAAAAGATGATTAAAACTGTAAAGATAATAGTGCAAAGGAAGAAATGCAAATGACCAATAAATATATAAAAGGATTATATCTTTACTAATAAAGATATAAACCAAAACGATGAGTGTACCACACACCAACTGTCAACTGAGCATATTTTATACTATGGGAATAATCAGAAAAGGTCATATATTTGTTTCAGGGCATTCAATACCAGAACTGTCGTACAGCAAAAAGGGAGGGTGTATTAAGAAAAAGACTGCTTTAATAAATGGCATACACATATAATGGAATAATAAGAATTAAAAAGGAAATACGTATATCTTCACTGATACAGAAAAATATCCATTACACACATATATAAATATACGTGTGTGTGTGTGTATAATTCTTATTTCTTAAAATGGAGTCTTGCTCAATTGCCCAGGCTGGAGTGCAGTGGCACAATCTCGGCTTACTGCAACCTCTGCCTCCCAGGATCAAGCTATCCTTCAGCCTCAGCTGCTCTAGCTGGGATTACAGGCACACACCACCATGCCCAGCTAATTTTTGTATTTTTAGTAGAGACAGGGTTTCACCATATGGTCCAGGCTGGTCTCGAACTCCTGATCTCAGGTGGTTCACCTGCCTTGGCCTCCCAAAGTGCTGGGATTACAGGCATGAGCCACCTTGCCCAGCCAGTACTTTAAAAATACATATATATGCATACATACATGCACTCACAGATTTATAAGGATTTACACCAAATAAAATACAATGAAACTGTCAGCTGGTGTTAACAGTTGTTTTCCATACAAAAGTGAGATGTGTGCTTTATTCTTTTTGCTTATCTGCAATTATTTAACTGAATTGGGTGGAGAACTTTTCTGCTATTTTTTTTAAAAAGCCAGTATAGCTTGACTGGATGCTTTTTTTTTTTTTTTTTTTTTTTTTTTAACAATTTTATGACTACCACACTTTAAAAATTTGGGTTTCATTACCATCTATGCAGAAGTTTGCAAATCTAGCTCCAAACAAGTCAACTAGTAAGCTGTTTAAAACTAATATAGATTCCTTACCTACTCGAGTGATTCTGAGGTCTAGGAAGGGTCAAGAAAGTTATACTTCTACCAAATTATCTAAATAATTCCAAAAAACAGAAACTTATTTATTTGTGGGTAAACTCTGAACAGTGTAACTTCTGGATCAAATAATAAGCATGTATTAAATTTGGGAAGATGCTGACAATTTATCTCTGGAAAAGTTGCACTAGTCATCCGGCAGACACTTTTAGTTGCCTACCCAATATCCCCTCTCACTACTCGTAATTTCCTTACTAACAAAAGACTGATTTCATTCAAAGCAGCAATATACTTAATCTCATGTAAGTGACCAGAAAACTGAAAAGAACATCTGCTGCAGAGCTCTGAGAAACATTCTGCTTTTTTGATAAGAAGGGACAATCACAACTAATGTGGTTCTTCCTTCTACCAACGTATTCTTACCTTGCATTTGACCATATCTGAAACAACTCATGTATATAAAGTAGTTTATAAGGGATTGACCAAGAAAATTAAGAAATACCAACCCTGACATCATCAAGCTGCTAACAAAATGCCACCTTCCTATTGTGTGAGGAAATAAATTCCTATTTGTTTAAACTCCTATCAATATACAAGTTTTCTGTAACTTGGAGACAAAATGAATTCCTAACCAATTCACCCATCAATAGTGCATGAGACTGTCCATTGCTTTATATCCTCGTCAACACTAGGTATCACTTGGTCATCTAATTTTTTTTTTTTTAACAAAGTAGCACCTCATTTTGATTTTCATTTCTTTACGAGTGAAGTAAAATTTTTATTTCTTTTTTTCCTTCTGCCTTTTCACATCTTTTGTCCATATTTTTTGTTCATTACTAACTTTTGTCTTCTTGGTCTGTATACACTCTTTGAACTAAGAAAATCAGATATTTACAAAATACATTGCAAAGTGTTATTATAAGTTTGTCATATTAGTTTTACACTTGGGAGCGTGTCTGTGTGTGACCCCTCTGAAATTGTCACACAGATATAAAATCCAGATTTTAAAATATTTTCACCATTTCAAAATGTAGCATGCTTAGACAAGGTGGCTCATGCCTATAATCCCAAAACTCTGAGAGGCCAAGGTGGGTGGATCGCTTGAAGCCAGGTGTTCCAGACCATCCTAGGCAACAAAGTGAGATTCTGTCACTACAAAAAAATTTAAAAATTAGCTGAGCACAGTGGCGTGTGCCTACAGTCCTAGCTACTGAGGAGGTTGAGGTGGGAGAATTACTTGACTGACCAGCAGTTCAAGGCTGCAGTGAGCTACAATCACACCACTGCACTCCAGCCTTGGAGACAGAGTAAGATTCTACTAAAATCAAGAAAAAAAAAAAAAGAACAAAATACTATGAAGACATTTTTTTTCCTAAGAAAGAATACATTTTAAATGTTAAATCAAAAGACCTTTTGAATCTGAATGCCACTGGAAGAATCAGCTATAACCAGGTAAATCTAGGGAATATACAAAAATATGAACGGAAAAACTGGGACATGGGGGGAGGGGGAGATGTAGACGAAAAATTTTCAATGCCTGATGGAGGTCCAGCATTATATTACATTCCTTGTAGTGACATTTAAGTGTAAAATAAAGTTCTCACTCACTAAGGTCTACTGACCATGTAGAGAAAGAGCAAGCACACAAAACACACCACACACACATTTGGAGATAAGCTTTCAAATGAAGCAAAGTCAAAGATTAGAAAAAAATCATTTGAAAACGACAGTAATCTATAGATGAAAAATTTCATTAAATATAATTAACTTTGAAAAATCATGGAATAATGAATAAAGAATAGTAAACCATTCTAGACTATGGAACAACCCATTAAACAACTCTTCTTGACAGCAGACAAGAAGGTAGAAATGATGACTGGAAAGTTAAGAGAGAAACAGAATGACCAGAATGAAGCGGTTGGTACTGAGAAGTAGAAAGATAAAAGCAGAATAAGTAGCATGGAGCCAGATTATGGACACAAGAATTTGAGAAGAAATTATACAAAATGCAAATCCAGCCAATGCATAATAAGAGAGAATCCAAAGTATTAGACTACCAGAAAAAGTAAGTTCCCTTCTAGTTGAATGAATGCTTAATGTCACAACTTTTCCAAGTTTAACCACTTCAGGCCCTAGGAATAGGCAAAGTAACTTGTAAATTTATTTTGCTTTTCCCCCCTTCCTTTAAAGAAAAAGATACATTTCAAGATTAATTTTCCATATGCAAATTGAGCTCAGTTTAAAAACAAAAAACACTACAGACTGATATATTCTGAGTCATTAACTAGCTACCTTAACCTAACTTCATACTTGAGACATAAAGGTTTCTTCTGGAATCAGCAAATTTACCACACCCCTGCATCTTCAGAGACTGTCAATTACTCCACACCCTGCAATCACGGTGTTGTAAAAAGATTTAAGAACATCAGCCTTATGCTTACAGAGATCATTTTGATAATTACTTCATAAATCACAGAGTCAAAATAATACACTAAAGTTATTTTTTAATGAGTTACTCCGACATATTCTTTATATGTCAATTATTACCAGTTTACTCTTAACAACAACCAACAACTTTCAACTAGCAACATAAAATGGGAAAGGGTACAGAATAGCTATTAAAAGAAAGAAAATGGGCCAGGCCTGGTGGCTCCTGTCTGTCATCTCAGCACTTTGGAAGGGCAAGCAGGCAGATCACCCCTGAGTTCCAGACCAGCCTGGGTAACATGGCAAAGCCCATTCTCTACAAAAAGTAAAACAATTAGCCAGAGGCTGAAGTGGGAGGATTGAGCCTGGGGAGTGAAGGCTGAAGTGAGTTGTGATTGTGCCACTGTACTCCAGCCTGGGTGAC